GCAGAAAATAATTTTATATCATTAAAAACACCAGAAATTAATTTTAAAGTAACAATAAATATCAATTATGGAAAGAAGATATTTATTATTATATAATGTATGCTTTTAATAATCCTCTAGGAGATTTTTACATGGATATTTTGGGAAGAGCCTTTTCAAAATAAATTTTTCTTGTTAGTACTCTTTGTATCAAGCATAGACATTTTTTCATCATCAAGGAATCAACAAATGAATTAAAAAATTGGGTTAGCCATTTAAAAAGAAGTGTTTGCCTGTCTTTGACTTTTCAGTCTAGTGGAGGGAGTGGTTCTATCTTCAGAGGTCCTTTTACATTGTCATGCTACTTGAGTTCAAGTTTGTTTTCAGGATCAAGCACAATTCCAGTGATGTACATGATATATTTGATACCAGTGATTAGTCAGGCTTTTGCTGTTTTGCAGTGAGGCATCATCAGTTTGTCTTCCCTGACAAAGTCTCTGTTAAAAGGCATTCCTAAAGGAAAAAAAAAGTCTCTATATGAGAGAGAATTCTCTCAAGTTCCAGATGTCTTTCTCTTTAATGATGTCAGCTAGATCTGAATGCTAGTGTACCCCATCTGTTCTGTTTGGAAGTAGTAAGCCATCTTTCATTCAGTCTAGGCTTTTCTTTTATGCCTCACATCAAACTTATTTTTAAACATTTAGATCTTAGGCATGCTGTGTTCATCACATGCAGTTATATGTATGTGCAGACACGTTCCATTTTATAGATCAGTGCATTATGGGGTTTTTTTTTTTTTGTGTGTGTGTATGTGGTGAGACTGGGGTTTGAACTCATTCTTCATGCTTACAAAGCAGTTGCTCTACCACTTGTGCCACAACTCCAGTCCATTTTTTCTGGTTATTTTTAAGATGGGGTCTTGGGTCTTGTTAACTATTTGCCTGGGCTGGCCTTGAACCACAGTCCTGATCTCAGCCTCCCAAGATAGCTAGGATTGCAGGCGTGAGCCACCAGCGCCCAGCCAGGACTGTGGTTTTATATTATGATTTATTTTATTTGCCTTCAACATAGACTAGTATCTTTTACTTTACAACCTTATTAGCTGGGCACAGAGGCTCACACCTATAATCCTATGTACTTGGGAAGGCAGAGATTAGAAGGCTTGTTATTCAAGGTCAGCCAGAACAAAAAACTTACCAAGACCCTATTTTAGTGAAGAAGCTGGCGTGAGTGCCATGTACCTGCGATTCCAGCTACTTGGGAGGTGCAGGTGGGAGGATCGATCTCTGTCTGAGGCCTGCCCTTGGCCAAAACATAAGACCCTACCTGAAAAACAGCTAACGCAGAAAAGGGCTGGGGTGTGGCTCAAGTGGTAGAGCACCTGTCTAGCAAGTGTGAGGCCCTGAGTTCAAATCTTCATACCACCAAAAACCCTCCAAATAACAAAACCCAAAAATAGTTTTATTGAGACATATTTATAAACCCTAAAATTTATTCTAATTTTTAAATATATAGTTTAATGAATTTTAGTAAATTTGCAGACTTCTGCAATCATTGCCATGATCTAATTTTAAAACCTTTCTGCTACTCTCAAAAGAAATCTCTTGCCCATTAGCAGTTAGTCTCAGTCCCTACCCCCAGATCTAGTCAGCCACTCATCTACTTTCTGTCTCTATAGGTTTGCCTTTTCCAAACATTCAACATGTAGTTTTTGCATCTGGCTTCTTTCACTTACTGTAGAATTTTTGAGATTCTTCCATGCTATAACATGTATTATTACTATCATTCTTTTTATTGCTGAATAGTATTCCATTCTTTTGGTTCCATAAAAGACATTTTGTTTATTCATTTACCACTTAGATGCTTGAGTTTTTTCTACCTTAGCTATCACGAGTAGTGCTGCTGTAAACATTTGTATACAAGTCTTTGTGTGGACATGTGTTTTCATTTTTTTCTTGGGTAGATAGCCAAAGAATGGAATTGCTAGATCATATGGTAACTCTGTTTCACATTCTGAGGCACTGTCAAACTGTTTCCCACAGTAACTGGACCAGGATGTGAGGGTTCTACATCCTTGCCAACACTCAGTATGGCCAGTCTTTTGAAGCTGTAGCCATCTTTATAGCTGTGTAGTAGGATGTCATTACAGTTTTAATTTGCATTTGCCTCATGACTAATGTGGGACACCTTTCCATGTGCTTATTGCTTATCCTCATTTCTTCTTTGGCGATCTTAGTTTTCTAAAACTATGTTTATAACCTAGTGTAGTATGGTAGTCTTGGTCCACCTAGAAAACACAGATCAATCCAATTATCTAAACAGAGTTAACTCTAGAGAGACGTTATTAAGTATAAAGATAAAAAAGCAAACATTAGGATATCATATAGGTAGTGGCTGGAGGAAGCAACCACTGAGGCCTGGGAGACACAGGGATGAGATTATATTATTAAATCTTTGTTTGGAGGTGAGGCCCCACAAATCTGAAACCCAGACTTAAGTGCGGGTGCAGGATACCTGGTGTTGGTGTTTCTGAGGGAGTGAAATGAGGCTGGTTCTGTAAGTGCTGAAAACCTACAAACCTGATTGAACAATTATATAAGAAGGAACTACTGCTTGTGGGAGAATGGTTGCTGGGGTGATGCTGGGTGCTGAAAGCCAGCAGAAAGCATCAGGGAAGGAGCAAGCCTATCCTGGTGTCTCCTGGTGGCTGAGCCCGATAGGGGCCCAACTGGTCAAACAGAAATGTGAGTTTTAGAGTCCCAGCCAGCATCACAAGACTGAGTTTGGAAGGGTGGGGCTGGGAGCTGAGAGACAATAGCTTCTTAACTGGCACAGCCCACCCCTTTGAATTCTCAGCATACAGACCCACCCTCTAAACACATTTGATCTTCCACATCACAAAACCTACTCTGCTTTCGCCTAATGGAACATAAGTGCCCTTCACATGGGAATGAAGACATTCTCACCAACTCCCCAAAATGTGGTGTCACTAAGTCTCATTGGTCATCCTAACTCTCTGGGAACTTGTCATATTATCCATTTCTGGTCTTTGTAAATTAGTCTTTAAATTTAGTCTTAGTTCTGCTTCAACATTGTGTTTGTTACACAAAGCCTAAGTTGTAGAGTTCAGAGTCAACAGGGCTTGTATAAAATGCTACAGAGGAAGGAGAGGAGAATCTGCCAAGGAAGAAGTACATGCACATGCTGCCTGCCTGGCAGTCATTCACACTTCTGTCTTCTTCTCCTCATGTTCATTCCATGCTTTCTTTGCCCATAGCCATTCCCTCAGCTGACTATGGTTTTTACCTGAAGGTCTTTTGAAGGTCTGAATTGTCAGCATTCTTGTCTTGTTTGGATTGCTGTAGTTTCCACATAACTTTTATTATTAGAGATGGAAGTACTAAGAGATACCCTGAGGAAGGAAGCCATCATCCTTCGTGATCCTTTGGAAGCAACAGCCAGTTTCCTCTTATCTCAGGTGGCCGAGTAACTTCTTTTGCCTCTTGATTTAGTCACTTAGGAGTCCCAGATGACCAAGTGACAGTTTCATTTTCCAAGTCACTGAAAACATTGTTGTCTCCCTTTAATGGAAGCATTCTTTCTTTTAAAACCAGAACCTCTATACCAGCAGAGATGGGAAGCAAAAATTCTTTGACAGGTTATTAGGGTGGTAGTGACAAGGGCCACTTACACCAATGTCTTTGGCTTGGGGAAGACAGCTGATTCCAAACAAATCCTGCATCACGTGAGACAAGACTCTTTCAGAATGTTTTCTCACAACTGCTGTATTCAGTGGGCCAGCTGTCACAGGTGATGTATCCAAGTGCTAACAGATGCTTCTTAACTGGTACACACACTGGGTTGAATTAGTGGTCTTGAAAACATGTTAGTAGGCTGACCATTTATTCTCTCTCGCCTTCTTTTCCCTCTGGTAAACTGTTGCAGAATACAGACGCTGTGTAGCACATGTTGTAAAGGTATATATAATCTTGCCCACATTTACTGTCTTAGAATTTAAAATGCATTTCTTAATGTGATCCATTGTGACAATACTTAGAAAGCTACTGGCATAAAGAGATGATTTCAACTTGGGCTTCTTTATTCCTGACTCAGTGATTTAATTAGGGTTGATTTCTCATTCCTACTCCACATGGTGTCAGTGTTGTCTAAAGTCCTTCAGTGGGCCCGAACCATGAGGATGGGTTTCTGCAAAATTCTTACTTCTTTGGAACAAGGTCAAAGGATGGTCATTGTGAAGGGATGACCTATAAACTTTCTTCTCTAAGTGTTCAGGAGATGCAGGGAGACCATGTGACTAAATTTGGTGCTCAGTATCTGGCATGTAGCAGGAATTGGTTCCCCTGTGGCATATTCATAAACAAAGGTGTATCCAGCACCGTGTTCTTTATATAGTGTTTATGTTTAAATTCAACATTTAAAATGTACCTTTCTCACACTGATCCAGACCGGCCCCAATGCAGTCAATTTTCTGACTATTAATCGCTTTCCATCCCTCCTCTTACTTTTTCTCCAAATGGCAATTTTTCCTTAGATCTTGAGAGCCTGTGGTTAAAGCAGAGGTGAAAATTTTGTGGGAAAATATCTGCAAAATAAATTTCTTTTTTTTCTTTTATTATTCATATGTGCATACAAGGCTTGGGTCATTTCTCCCCCCTGCCCCCACCCCCTCCCTTACCACCCCTCCGCCCCCTCCCTGTCCCCCCACCCCCTCAATACCCAGCAGAAACTATTTGCAAAATAAATTTCTTTGAATGAATTGGGATGGATGGCTTG